TACCACAAACAACTTTTCTTATCTTCCGCATAAAAGAGTAATACTTAATTTATTCCAGTGTATGGTTCTAATTTTATAAAACCGGAAATCGTAGTTATTGCAAACATGTACCATGTGCACAGAACGAAGTCTGGGAAATTTACTAGCAAGTCCAAATATAAGCGTTTAAGAAAGGTGTTTGAAGGGAAAAAAGAAGCAGCAAGGTATCAATATAATCAAAGAACTATATGCGGTATATTGCATATATTTGCCCCCACAAAAGTCAAATTTTTAAAAAAAATCCTGAAATGTGCTGAATTCAATAAATTATATGAGAAATGTAAATTAACAGAAAATATTATAGTGTCAAAGCAGTGTATTCACAATTATTGTTTTTATGACGTCACAAACTAGTCCGATTTTATATCCTTTTTCAGAAAGAGGACAAAATGGACAAAATTTCATCAGTTTTAGCTTTAAAATTAATAGAGCGCAAGTTTGTTCAGGAACAATATTGACATATTTCATTGATATTATCATTCTTCACATTATATCAAAATTTTGATCCTGAACACACATGCGCTCGGTGACTTTAAAATTAGCGTCATGTCTGTGACGTTATAACGTACATATGGCGTCATTACTTACGAAAATTTTCAGTGCTTTGAAGTCAGCATATACTCCTCTGTTTAAGAACTTAATTAAATATATCTCCATCAACGTTTGATTTTGGGGGGTTGGGGCAGAGATATTGGTTATTACCGAATAAAGTTCTTGGACGAAAAGATTAATACATTTGTTCGGACTGTGTTCATGCAGACATGACAGGAGATAACTTTTTCCTGACCTTGTTCAATAAATGTCATTTTTCTGTGTAAATGTTTTTTCTCGTTTTTATTAGTGTCAAAAGGGTACCTAATTCCTTATTTTTTCAAAAGTAATATTACTGTGAAGACTCCATAAAAAATATGAACATATCTTAGGATTGTTTGTAAATTTTTACATTAATTTTTATCATTTTTTGGATATTGTTTACATTTGAAAGATAATAAGAAAAAAATGTTTGTCTTACATAAAATATTTGACCCAGGATATTTATGTAGATTCTAAATTGTTAAAATCATGACCCCCGAGGGTATAGGGCGGGGCCACTGTACGGAATCCAATTTTTATATAGAAATATATAGGAAAAATCTTCTTCTCAAGAACCAATGGGTCAGGTAAGCTGAAACTTACTTGTAGGGATCCTGGGGTAGTGTAGATTCTAAATTATTAAAATCAAGACGGGGGTTAATGGGCCACAATAGATTAAGAAGATGGGAAATCTGGTTAAGAACTGCATCACAAAAGCCCATGGGCCTCTTGTTTTAAAATACCAGTTTAACCTAAATCATCTTTTTCTTTTGAACTTAAATAAAATCTCATTATAAGAATAAAGTCAGCCTTCCCTCAACCGTTTCAACTAAACTTGCTACAAAATATCTTTGGGTAAAGGGGATTCAAGTTTGTTCAAATGAAGGGCCACGCCCTTTTAAAAGGGGAGATAATTATGAATTAGAGAAAAATTAATGGCATTTTTAAAAAATCTTCTCAAGAACCACTGGGCCAGGAATAATGAAACTCATGTGAAATCATCTTCAGGTAGTGTAGATTCAAGTTTGTTCAAATCATAGGGGTAGGGGTGGAGCCAAAATGAACTAATCCAATTTTTACATAGGAATATATAGGAAAACTCTTTAAAAATCTTCTTCCCAAGAACCACTGGGCCAGGAAAGATGAAACTCATGTGGAATCATCCTCAGGTAGTGTAGATTTAAGGTTGTTCAAATCATGATCCCCCGGGGGTAGGGTGGGGCCAAAATGGCCGATTAAAATTTTAAATTGGAATATATAGGGAAACCTTTTAAAATCTTCTCTTCAAGTACTTCAAAGCCATGCTTAGTGATATTTATAGGGAATCATCCTCAGGTATTGTAGATTCTAGTTTGTTTAAATAATCTCATTATAAAAAGCTCTTTCACAAAATCAGTTAACTTCCAGTTCTGATCATGATCTGATATGTGTTTTTTTCTAGTCAATTGCTCAGGTGAGCGATGTGGCCCCTTTGGGCCTCTTGTTATACTATAAATATAAAGCTCTTTGCAGTTGTATACCCCCCCCCCCCAATTAATCAGTCGTAATGATTTTTTGTGGTGGAATTTCTGATTTATGTTCCACCCCACACCAACCCCCAACTCCAAACCATGGAATCTTTTTTTACTGATGGGCCGCATATGTTTGAGTATATTGAATCTAAAGGCGCTCGGTAAAGCTTTAAAACACTTTTAACTCTCTTAACTTCCTCAGTAAACTTTAACTTTGTAATATAAATTAGGTTACATTATGTGATCAGATAATCTAATTACCTCAGGCGTTGAGCTTGTTTGGAATTTATATGAAAAAAAAACAATACGAGAACAAACATAATGTGCACATGTATCATAAATATCGATTTATTCAAGACAAAGGTGATAAACTTTTAATGTGAAGATCATAAATGTCAATAATATGATTTGTATTGGAGATCCTTTTCGGGGGGGGGGGGGGGGGGGGGTCTGTTAATATTACGTTTTTATTGCATTTTACAAGCAAAGCTCGAACATAGAACTAGAATCTTTTTTTATATATACAATTAAAGGCACCCTTCATTACAAAAATCCTTTCAGATTTTTCAGGCTAACTGGATATATTGATGCATATATTGATAAAATATATATGTTTGGGGCAAAAAAAATTTCAATCCCCGAACTGTGTAAATTAAATGGCAAAATAAAAATAAATGAATGTAAATCACAGTCATGTGGTTTTTACATATTTAGAAAAAAAATCACCAAGTTCATGTTTACATGAATTTTTCCTGAAGTGTTTAAGTCTTTGTCTTCTGTATAATCAAAGTGAGAACAATTAAAGAGTCACGTGTCCGCAAAAACTAATTTCCCTGTGATAAAATTCCCCAGTGCACTAGGGTCATTTGACCGGAAGTAGTCTGTACACAGTTCTTTGTAATATTCAAAGTCGATTTTCTTCTCATTATTCTACAAAAGATAAAAAAGCTTATTATTATATGGCTCAAGAAGTAAACGGAGCTATAGGTGAGGAAAATCGCTTTTCACGTTCATCTCCATATCTTATCTATAGCATGCATGAATAACTGCATTTTACAAGTAAAATCACTGGTTTACTTTCAATCCTCTATGTTATTTATGTGAATAAAATTTCTTTTTATTTTGTGCCCCGAGCTTTAAACAAGTGCTCTTCACTAGGTTAGCTACATATGTATCTTGATATTCGAACAAAGTTACCCGACTGCCCCCTCCCAGCCCCCGAAATGACACGACCTTTCGATTCCTGCATGAAAGTTCTCTCACTTAGCAGAACGCACCAGATGTATAAATAGTAATTTCAAAGAAAATGACACAGTTTTACTTTAGTCCAAGATTCAAACCCAGGCCCATCTGAACAGTAAACGCTAAGTACTGCTGAAAGTGAATTATCGGGTCGAGACGACGTACGAAACCGCATGACCATCCTTACACATGTATATAGTTTATTACGAAACCAATTTTACGTGGTTTTGAAACCAATTTTCATATGAATATAACTTGATTTCAGCTTTTTTTCGTTTCACCATTTTCTCAATTAATTTGACTGATTTATAGTGCATTCACCAGAGCAATTATACTAAGTACGAACTTTGATGATCAGTGTATATTGTTTCCCTTTTCTTACAATACTTAAAATTTACCTTTGAGATCATAAGGAAAGCTGATCGGGCATCCTTAGCCGGAACTCCGAAATCCCCCAGTACATATTCGAATTCATCGCAGTCTATATTTCCATCTCCGGTCCGGTCAAATAGGTCAAACTTGTACCGGATGTAGTTCTCGAGCCATTCGGGAAGCTTCCGCTCACTCGGAACCTCATCGTCTTTGTTCCCCTCTTTGATACATTGTTCACTGAAGTTCTGCCACATCTTCAACTTTTTTTTTTAAACAGAGACATATTGAATTGATTGTGTGAGATGCATGCACTAGTTCTAGTGTAATTATACAATTCACGCATCATTATTTTCATTTGCAGTCATACGACTACATATCAAATTTGAAAGAATTACAGTACCATGAATAAAATGCGGCATATCAAAATCAGTTGTAAAATAAAAAAATAAACCATTTTAAAAAAAGTGAATTTTAATCAATGTTAAACCCATTCTTATGCCCTGTTCACACGGAGAAAATTCGAATTAAAAAAAAATTAGTAACCATACATTGATAATTTAATGCGAATTAGTTTAATTCGAATTAGTTTACTGCGCATTAAATTACTTCGCATTAGCTGTCGTGTGAACGCAATTTAATTCGCATTAATTTGATTCGCATTAGTTTACTTCGCATTAATTTAATGCGAATTAAACTCGTCGTGTGAACAGGGCATTATTTTACTTTTATAGATATACCAGACATAATTGAAAAGTACATTAAGCTTTTACAAAAGTTAGAACAATCTGTGGTACAATGTATATGTAGTCGTTACATTACCCACTCCTCTGTGGTAATGAGTCCATCGTTATTCTCGTCACCCTCGTCCTGCAGTTTCCTCCAAATTGTTACAAACAGCTCGTGTGTTTTAATATATTTATCAGTCCCTGGCTTCCAACCGCTCATTTCGCATATTTTCTTAATGAAAAAAATAAGGTTTTTCAAAATTCACAATCTTTGAAAAACAACATCGATTTCTGTATGTTAAGTTGTCTGTCAAGTCAAAAATTACGTCATCAATTAAACTGATACTTAATGATAAAATGAAATGATTTGTGATTTTCTGACTTTAATTATATTTGCTGTAAATAATTATGCTAGAAGGTGATTATTCAATACATGCAGTCCTATACATGTTATCTATTTGAACAAAAGTGTCGTAACTTTAGCCTGCCATTGCATCGTTAATCGCAGACGTGCTTTTCTGCATGTTTAACAAATTACCTGTCTGGCCATATCAAAGTCCTTCCAGTCCAATTTGCCATCTTTGCTGAGGTCTGTTAATGAAAAACAAATACTTCCATTACAATGTATAGTGTATTTAGATCAATGGCAGAACACCCCGTAAAAAAAGAGAGTCTTGATAAAATGAAGATATCATTATCGGTACATATAATTACAAGATGTGTCGTAAGTTTCTGTTATCATTTAAGAGTTTAATACACCCACACACCCAACAAAAAATTCTGAATCCCCCCCCCCTCCTTCCTGAATGCTTTATTGTTTCTCAATATACAAAATTAAGGTACTAGTATAAATTATGAATTTTAATTAATTAGACTTCAAAATTTTGGTTTTATTAACGTGAATTTCATGTAAAAAGGGGGATTTATGTTATGAAGTTACATGACTGTATGTACTTTTAAAATTGTTTTTACCAAAGAACACGTTGAATTCATATAAGCCTATATTTTTAGGCTTGGAAGCATCAACTTTGTGAAAGGGGGGGGACTGCTAATCAAACAAAAAAAGGCAAAACCCAATTTTCAATGCACTGAAAGATATACATGTACAACAAAATAAAATTTATTCTATATATTTTATAATTCTGTTATAGGAAGCAATTTCAGTAGGCGGGGTGGGGTTGGGACACAGCCGCCAAAGATTTTCAGTTGGGACACCATGAACTGCCAAAACTTCTTGACAAGCAAACAAATAACCATTCATCGACATCCAATCCTACTTATTGACGTGAAATACTGAATATAGGGATATATAAATAAATAATGTTACTGGTATCAAAGATGAATGTTTCCAGCATAATATCATCATAAATGTACGATCCTCTCCCACTCTGAAGAGAGAGCTTTATGTGGTCTCCGGACTGCAGTTTGAGACAATGGCCTAATGTAGTCTTGGACCAAACTTTTAACATTTATTTTTAGAAAATTACAAAATTTGCATAAAATTTCAGGTCATTATCGATTTCAATTATGTGACATGTCTAGATTGTGTAAAAATGATTTTTTTAGTTCAATACTACTTCGTTGCTTAGGTGCTCTCATCATGGCATGTAAGATTGAACTTGAGGAAAAGATAAGTCTATATACCCCTTGATTTTATAGTTTAGATGGCTAATCCTATGTAAACGTATTGTATTGTATTTCTTCATCTACAACCTTACGTACAGGGATCAATGCATATGTATTCCAAAATATATTATATTTTCCAGCCTTTTTAACGATTTTATAATTTTGCGTCTCTGGGGAAAACGGGCACATAAAATATCAAATCGTGAAAAGCCTGGAAAACGTATACATTTCGGACAAGGATCTATGCTTCGATGGCGGATCAAATAAAACACTTTGGAGAACATCATAGGATTAAACGGCACATAGATGTATCTGTTAACTGAATGATGCTTTAATGGCTGTATGGCAGCACTTTACCTTTCAGTAGAATTTCAGTCACCATGTAACTGAACGGCAAAGTTAAAATCCTGCAGCATCCTGAAACTGGCATTGAATGCGTTACAAAAACAGATTAAAGTAACTTTTGAAACAGATAAAATATGTTTACATGTATATTATCATCAATGGATTTAAAAATCAAAAAATCAGATTTAGTGAACTCATGCCATGCTAAGTACATTAATGCTTACTAAGAACAACTCAGAATGAAAGGGGGTTATTAAAAAAATAAGTTACGTCAAGCGCTTGTCCGTAGATAGAAAATATTAGAAAAAAATCATACAGAAGATAACTAATATCCATTATCTTATACAATTATACCTATATTTAATCTCTATTTTAGAAAAATACTTACATTTATTATAACAAGGAGATCACATTAAAACTAGCTTTTTCCCCCGTGATTTGTACTAAAAAGTACAATCATCTTATAAATAAATCACAACCATAGAGAAGGGCCACGTTCATTACTGTGACACAAGAGAACATCTGTTACCGGGGCAGCCCGTCAGAATCGATAACTAAATGTCGAGTTCATTTTTATAAAACGCTATTTGAGATCAGTTCGTTGGTGTACATTTGTAGTAGACTGTTTGTGTAAAAGTTCGGCATAACCCGGATAATAAGAAAATCTGTGCGCGTCTTCCTGTTTCATTGTTAATATACCAATATTTATTAATTTCTTCTTCTTTTCTTAAATGTTATTATTGTGAACCTGCAGTAAAATTGGACGGCAATATTAAAAAAAAATTTAATGAAGAAAGGGTAGTATTTTTTTTTTTGAATTTGAAATATTGGGTAGCTAGTACTAGTATATTAAAAGAATTAATAGTTTTAATTATTTTAAAATACAGGAACTTAAGCTAAAACACTGGAAATTAAAAATGTACTATAAATGGTGCAAATAATTATTTTAAAAAAATTGATATTAGCTAGGAATTTCATTTCTTCATTTGAATTGGGGGAGGGGGTTAATATTTGGGCCTATGTGACCAATGTATCTCAATAATGCATCTCAAAAATACGAAATAATTTAGAATTTTTATAATTATATAATTTCAGTATCGTGATGAATAGATTTGATCCGCTCCAAAACTTTAAAAGACGCCATGCCAGTATGTTTTTATGAAACACTTCATTTCATTATATAATTTTAATATGACAAAAAACTGATGAAGATATTAAGGGACAATATCCCTCTGCTCCACATTTGATAAAACAGAGTTTTTGATTCACTTTTTCAAAACTTTGAAGAAAATTTGATATGGTCATTAGAAAGATCAATTATTTTTAATCTCACAATTAAATTAGATATGAGGTATATATAAAAATAATATTTACTCTCATACCTATCTAATCCCCTTTAGAAAACATACTGGAGCGATGCTTTTTAAATCAGAATATCAAATTGATTTCTGTGCATGTAAAATAAAATGCATCCATAAACAAGAGTTATCGTTCCATTATCGCCCTTGAAATTCTTTTTTAATGAAATAAAATATTAATTAAATGTTTATAAACAATTCTGCAGCTGTTATTTCTGTACAATTTTCGTTTAGAGATATATTTTTTATCAATCCGTTTAAAGGAACTGAGTATAAATATAAGTACGCTGTACTTTTGAATGTTTCAATGACAAAAAAAAAATGATGAAGATGTTAATGATAAATGTTCCGCTTGACAGCACACATCTGATGAGTCATTTTCCAGTTGGCTCACCATTACCAAGGAAATGATAAAACTGTTACCTTCATTTTATTGGTCAGATTTGTTTTTTCCTTAATTCAATCTATCATTTAGTCATTGTTTACCTCAGTTAAGTAACAGCTGTATGTTATGAGGTATTTTCTTCCATTAAGCATCATAACTGATTGTTGACTTTGTCATTGATACATTTAAAGCATTTTAATGTTGTAACATTAACAAAGGACCTTAGAAAATTTAATCAATTTAAAAAATAATAAACATCACATACAGGATATAAGCTTCCCTTGACATGCTCTTGAAAGAAAATAATTAAACAAATATCGGTTGTAAAAAAAAAATCGAAAAAAAAAAGACCTATAAAATTATGATATCAATGAACACGTTTAAAGGAACTAAAAGAAATAATTTTCTTAGCTCTATTTAGGTTTAATTTAACATCATCAGAAAACATATGTATTAACTTTCATTTTTACCATAGCAATATAATAATTTTCAACAATAGAATTTTTCACAGGAAAGAATTGTATTGAATAGTGATAAAATGAATTTTAAAAAAAAATTGCCTTGATGTACTGACATGTTCAAGTACATGCAATCAATTTTCATTTACCTTGTCACAACCAAAGCTTCAAATAATTTTGGGAGAGAGAGAGAGTTAAAGAGAGAACGAGAGAGAGACTTACGATTCCGGAAAAATCCTTGTTTGGGTTTTTCTTCGTACTTCTTTCTTCTTGCATTTCTGGCTGACTGTGTGTCCGTCATTTTGAGAAACTCCAAACACATGGTGAAATCTGTCAACTATCACCTGCTTACTTTGTGACAACAACCTGTTAACATCGATTAGACATGTATAGACGCCGTAAGGCAGAATTCAGATCGTGAGAGCTGATCTAATTCTCGATAAAAAAGTATATTTTTGGTTTAGAACAAGTATATAGAGTGCATTTAAAAATACTTCATGAGCTAAAGTAAGAGTTAAGAAAAAAATATCTCGTCATACTTTAGTATTGTAATGTATGGTACTTTTAATATGATACTACGCAATTATATGGCTTCTAAAGAATAATTTCAATTTTTTTACTCTTGTCTATATTACAATATATATTTTTCC